AATTCTTTTAGAAATGCTTCTCACAAAAAATCAGTGATAGACAAGCTAGAATGAAAAATGGCGTAATCAGTTTATACAAGTTCAAATTAGAAAATGCTACACTTTTCCACCCGCCAAAGTGATTTTGCCTTAGAAAATAGTTTAGAAAAACACCTTAGCCCTCTCAAGTATACATAATACAACTTAGCCACTTGAGGAAAACAAACATTGAAAGATTTACAATCAAACAGTGTTTACAATAATTCTAAAAAGCAGATTTAACACTACAATAAAGAACAAATGTTTACACACAAATATGAGCAACAAGTCTTGTGTATACAACAATGATAATAACATAATAATGACAACAACTCTTATGTTATATGAGCAACGACTCTTTGTGTTTTGAATTTCTCTTAAATATTTTCTCTCTTTGTTTTCTTTCCACAATAGCTTTTCTTTTCAATTTCTTGATACTGAATCATTGATATTCAATGAAGTAGTCATCCCTTTATATAGGCTGAGAAAGTAAACTGTTGTATAGTACAAAACGTCACTTTCATTTACCAGTTGCTACAACGGTAGCATCAAATCGTGGGATACAAATTCCTTTGGTCGTACTACGTAGTCTTCACCATTGTGAAATACGTACAATATTGTTGTACTATTTTCTTCTTGTGCAGGTTTCCTTGATCTTATCTTCTGATGAAATACTTCTACATGAAGTAGTGAATAAAGTACAGAAGAGATCACCTTTTTGTTCTTATTCTTCTGATGGAGTATTTCTGATGAGAAATGATAAACAATCCAGAAGATGTTTCATTGTAATGTTCCCAAAAGTATCAGAGTCTTCAGAATTAAACCTTGTCTTTAGACTTGAAGCAACAACTTATTTGACAAACAATTCTTGATACCTGAGCTGGAAGCAAAAGCTTATCTTAGAATAAAATCATCTTGATATCTGATCTTTGATCATAAGCTTGATTTTTGATCTTTGACGCATAAGCTTGATATCTAATCTTGACGCATGGATATCTTTTTCTAGCGAACACTCATGACTTCTGAAGTAAAAACTTATCTGGAGAAGTAAACATGGATCCTTTTCTGGCGAACATTCAACATTCATCAGAACTACTGATGTTTCTTCAGAAGTGAATGCAATAGTCTTTCTGAGCCGTCCAAAAGACACTTCTGATGATTATTTAGACAACAATCTTGAATCAATTAGAAAATTTATCTGCACTCTCAAGAAACTATTAAATAAAAAAATTGTTACATATAAAATATATGTATTGTTATCATCAAAACTAGAGATTTAAACACAAATCCAAATCTTGTTTTAACATCTATGTGCTATAGATCAATATACCTTCAAATGATTCAAGCTGGGCTTCCCACCAGACCAGCATTCTTCTAGTGTGATTCCTTATAGCTTCTTTGTCGAACATCTATTCAGGATATATGTTACAGTGAACACAACTTCACCCCAAAACTCTTTAGATAAATATTTGACATTCAACATACTTCTCACCATATTCATGATGGTTCAATTCTTCCTTTATGGAGTTCCATTTTGTTGTGGAGTGTAGGATGACACCACCTCATGCACAACCCATTCTTTCTCACATAATGTGTCAAAGTATTTCGACAAAATTGTCCACCACCATCAATGCTTAGAATCTTGAACTTTTGACCACTTTGTCTTTTGACCATAGATTTAAACTTTAAAAATACCTCGATAACTTCACTTTTCTTCTTTATCAGGTATGTCCACAGTTTTCTACTGAAATCATCTATGAATATGACATTGTATTTGTTACCTCCAATTGAATCCACCAATATGGGACCATATACATCAGAGTATATGACTTCATGGATTTCCTTTGACTTGCTTCCTGCATCCTTAAAGAAGTTATTCTTCTGTTGCTTCATTTGCACATATTTCTCACACACTTCATTTGGAATGTCGATTTCTGCTATTCCTGAAACCATATTTCTTATCTTCAGATCTATGATGTCCTTGAAGTTTAGATGTCTAAGTCTATAATGACATATCCACTAATCCCTGCTAGCTGCAGTTGCAAGGAACTTATGCTCCATTACATTGAGTTCAATCTTGAAGGTTCTATTCCGAGACATAGGAGCCCTCATGATTAACCTTCCTCTTGAGTCGAGAACTCTCATCAACTTGTCTTTGATTGACACCTTGTATTTCTTTTCGACCAACTTCCCTATCTTAGAAGATTACTTTTCATGCATGATATATACAATACATTGAAAACCACTAACCTTTTGCCATCTTTCCTCATAATCAGAACATCGGCAATACCTTCAGCTGCTAGAGTATTGTCATTTGCAAATTTCACCCTGTTCTTCATCAAGGGTTTTATGTTGACAAACAAAAAATTTCCTTCCAGAAATGTGTGATGAGCATCCTGGGTCTAAGTACCATTGGTCCTTGAATCTCTCTTCATCTCTTGTTGTAACCATCAACATCATCTCTTATTCTTCATGTTTTGTAAACTTTGCATTATTGTCTTGATTCTTCTATTTTTCTGGACAATCACTAGAGTAGTGACCATACTTCTGACAATTGAAACACTTAATGTGACTATTGTCAGGTTTTCGACCACCACCTATTCCTCTACGCGCAACACCACCTCTTTGGTTACTTTGGTACGAGGGCCTTCTCTGGTTCGAAAAATTTCCTTCTTGCTGGTTTCCTCTACCAGTTGAATTGTTGTAGCCTCCCCTACCTTTATCGTCGAACCACTTTCCTTTGCCTTTCTTTTCTCTTGTCGATTGCGCTTGCAGAGCCACACCACTCTTTGACTTGCCTGCAACTCCTTTGAAGCTCTTCCTTTGTCAATGTCGGTAAATCTTTCAACTCTTCTATGGCAACCACCATGTGGTCGAACTTAGGAGCCAATGACCTCAAGGTCTTTGTGACAACTGATCTTGATGTCGATGCTTCTCCACATACCTTGATTTGATTCACCAGTTTCGTAACCCTAGTGAATTATGTTAGCTTTCACTTTTTTTCCATCTGAAGCAATTCATATGTTCTTTTGTGAGTTTGTAACCTCACATCTTTCACCATTTTTGCACATCCAAACGATTTTTCCAGAATTTGCCATGCTTCTTTCAATGATTCGACATCACTCAGCTTCTCAAAATTTTCTAGATCAACACATTGATGAATTATAAAGAGAGCTTTATAATATTTCTTCTTCAATTCTTTATATTCATAATTTTCTTCATCCACAACGTCTTTTCAAGCGGTGATACCCTTCCTTCACAAGATCCCAAAGATATTGATAACAGAATACCACCTTCATCTGGTTGCACCAATTCTCATAATTCTGACTCTTCTGAAATAGAAGACTCGCTGAAAAATACCCATTCAGATGATTCATTGCCATCACTTTGGCTTGGCTTGAATCGCTCAGCCAAAACTCTAGATACTAGATGTTGGAATTAAACCAAACCTATGGAGAATTCTGAATCAATATTGATGAACAAGATTCAGTCAACCAATCAAATCTCCTCTTGTTCTTCACTCTTCACTCGAGTGAATCAATAAACCTTGGTTGCAAGATGATTATGCTGCACAATGATAATGGAAGAAGAGAAAAAGATGAAATTGGAAGAAAGATGAATTTAGGGTTTGAACAAAATGATGGGAAATGAGAATTTTCTACAGAGTTTCTCTCTGCTCACAAACTGTGATTTTATTCTTTACAACGACAAGCGTTATACAATGATATGTGTTACTCCCTATTTATAGTTTTATATTTGTTTGCTACCTAAGCGAAAGCGCAAAATACAAAATCCCAAAATACTTAATTTTGTTAACTACAAAAATAGGTCTAAGTCGAAATTCTGTCGAGCCAACTCATTCTACAATTCGACACACACAAATTCGATACACGCACACTAGACTAATTGACACAACCTTATTTTATGTCGAACAACCTTCTTCAACACAAGAAATTACAATCTAAACAACCTCATTGTATTTCTCTATAAGCTCTAAAGTTTAGTTTTGAGAAAGAAAAGTCACTTATCTTTTTAACTTATTTTAAACCAAAATGTCAAGAGTATTTAACATGTCACTCCCTCAATTAAATTTGGCATCCACACACATTTTTATAATTTCTAAACTGCCCATGAATAAATTTGAGTTAAAAAATACGAATAGGATTTTCGATAATTCATTCAAAATTTCCTATAACAAACTAAAATTTCGATAGTTCATTTTTAAATTTCCGATATAAATTTTTTATCCTTTTATTGAAATTTTTTTTAACATATTAGATTTTATAATAAATCCAATATCTATTTTTTCTCAAATTTTTTAAGATTTCGGTAATTCATATTCAATAAAAAAAATAAAAAATTTAACACTACCAAAAATTTAAAAAAATATTATAGTTTACTAAAAAGTGTGGTAGTTTAAAGAAAATTTTGAAAATTTTGATAGAGTTAATTTATTTATATTTTCTATCAAATATGAACTAAATTTTTTAAAAAATACGATATTTTATCGAAAATAAGTGAATTTTTACTAAAAATTTCAAAAAGTAAAACAATAAAAAAATTTAAAATTTTTAGTAAAGGCATAAAAATAATAGCAACTTATGTGGCATGTATAGTTAAAGAGATGCCATGTTATATCGTCAAATGTCAACGGTGAACAAACGATATAAACACGAATTGGAATTCTTTTTTACAATTGGAATTGATTGAAACAAGACACACCTCACACCTCGAATCTCAAGTGTCATATATTATATAGATACAAACATATGTACATGTTGTCGAGTGTCCTTTCCTCCTATCTTACTAACCTATAAATAGTAATAATAAGTCCAAAATCAAAAGTCATTTTCATTGTTTTCTTTTTGAAATTGATGGGGTGGGAAAGCAAAGTAACATATCATATGCTCTCTTGCTTTTGCTTTTGCTTTTGCTTATTCAAAACTTCATCCTTATGGATGGCTTCTCCTTTTGTTTTCTTGATGCTTTTTTCGACTTACATAGTTGATGGATTTGGTTTTCTCTCTCTCTTCTTCTCATCTATAGCACTAATTTTGTCTACTATTATCTTATACATATGGAAACACAAAGCAGTTACACTTGATGAAAATGTATTGGCTTCACGTGGAAGGGAAAATGTTGAAACAACAACTCCGATGCTCATGAATGAATCTATCATTGAAGCAATAGAAATGAAAGAAGAAGAAGCTAGTGCTGTTGCTAATTATGACTCATATTCTGACTTAGATGGTTCCATTTCTGATGAAGAAAGTCTCATTGAAATATCACTTCCAAGTGGACACTTAATGGATAAACATAAACAAGAGTTCAACCAACAACGTTTGATGGAATTGTTAGCAGAATTTAATGATATGTTTGAGGAAGAGAATTTAATAGAGATTGACATATCCATGGGTTCAATCAAGTGTTCAAGGTTTGAAATTGAAGCATAATGATACTATGGCTAGCACTACTTTTTTCAAAAGTTTAATGTTTGTTATATCGAGTTTTTTCATCCACCTTCTTATATATTTGGTTGGATATGGTATGTAACACAAGATGTTGTTGTTAATATTGTAAAGTATGAAATTGATATTACTCACAGACTTTTTTTGATAACATAATGTTACTCAAACTTTGGATACTTATTAAAGTGATATGACTCTTCTTTTTGGCTTGTTAATTCTCATTATTAAATTGAAGTAATGAAAATGAAAGTAGAAAGAAGTTGGACGAAGTTGGTAGAAATTTCATCCAGAAGCTACACATTGGTATTTTTTTTTTTTTATACTAGTTTACAATAGTGTGTCGTTATCTTTAGTATTCCCTTTATAGAGAAATTTGTCATATTTCAGTCAAGCACTTAATCCACTACACTAGGCATTGTTTAGTGTGTTTTGGAAACATGAAAATCACGGTGGGAAATCACTGTTGGAGAGAGATTACATATAATAGTTTCTCAAAATTACGGTAGAAAATATCTTACGTGCATGCACTACTAAAAAAAAGACATTTGAGAAAATGTCTTTATATCAGGTATAAAAATATATGATGTAAAAAATAAAATTAAAAAGATTTTATATTAGATATTTATTTGTAATGATATAAACAATATTAAAAAAATATTTTTCGCTGGTTATTACACCGAGCCAATTTATCTATCGATGTAAAAGTTTTTGTAAAAAAAACACGGTAGTAGTTTTGTAAATAAAAAACTAGATGACAAATTGGTAAATAAAAAACACGTTAAACCTTACATCGGGCCTTATTATCCACCGATGTAAAAAATGCGCTAACATCGATTCTACAACCCACCGATGTAAAAATCTGAAAACGTGACCATTACATCAATCAATATATGCACCGTGTAAAAACCTGATTGCAAAGTAACCCTTACATCGAGCTAAATTTGCCACCGATGTAAAAACTCCAATATATATTTAAGAAATAAACCCTATCTTCTCACTACTGTACATTTCGTTTTTATTCTCTCCTCAAAACCAACTCTCCGCCCGCCTACACAGTTCCTCCGCTCCGCCTACGAAGGCCCTTTGCTCCGCCCTCCGCCGTCTCCTCGAAGGTCTGCGTCGTCCTGCACGAAGACGCCCGTCACAAGCCGCCGTCTCCCACCGTGCACGAAGACCTCCTGCACGAAGACGTCCTCGAATCTCCCGGCGTCACAGCCTGCCACCGTCTTCGAAGCCCCCGCCGCCTTCCAACTACGATTCCGGTAAGAAATTTTCTATTTTGTTCAACTTCATTGTATATCTATGGATTGCTAAGAGGTATATATACAAAAAAGTTTTTAAGCTACTCTTGTTGCTTTACTTGCTACTGAGATACATTATAAAAAATTAGAAGTACATATAAAAACAATTAGAAGATTATACTAGATACTAACTCAGTGGCTTGGTGAATCCATTCCTTTGTTCATATTTGTTTTTTAATTACTAAACAGTTTATTATTCTTAGAGAGGTTAATTAAGTCTAATTAGTTATAAATTGTATATATTTTGTATAGAGTTAAGAATATAGTACATGTTGTGTATATGTCATTCTTTTTCATTAGAGAAATTGTCTCCTTAGAAACCTCCGAAAGAAACGTTAATGGTCCTCTCAGAAACACGCAGTTTATCTTTAACCTATCAAACTTAATAGAGTTATCATCTTGCCATTGAAATTTGATTCTATTTTTCTTTCTCCGCAAAGTAGCGCAACTTGCGATCTCAGAATCTCCGTGAAGTAGCACAGCCGCGGGCACACCCTTCGTCAGACCTTCCTCCGTGCGAACATAGTTATGGATCGTATTTGAATGAGAGCTAATCGATTAAGTGACGAGTACGGACATGGAGTGATGGAATTTCTACAGTTTACTGAAAGTAATGCTGAAAAAAGTCTTCCTGCACTTTTTCTCTATCCAAGTGTTCGTTGTGCAAATAAAGAACCAAAATGTAGTAAGAAAGAAATTATGGATCATCTAATTTGTATAGGGATTTGTCAAAGTTATACATAATGGATATGGCACGGTGAAGTAGTAGAAAAGTCAAAATGTGTCTCAAAGAGATGATGTTAGTGTAGAAATGGATGATCTTCTAGAAGACATGATGCGTGATATTGGACAAGATTAGTTTAAGAGGGCACATGCGTATGATACTCTATGCAGTGACAAGAATAAACCATTGTACCCGTGATGCAAAAAATTTACACGTCTGTCATCCGTGTTAAAATTATTTAATCTAAAGGCAAAGAATGGTTGGACTGACAAAAGTTTTACCGAGTTGCTTGAATTGTTGACCGAAATGCTTCCAGAAGGTAACGTAAGGCCAAGTCGTTATTACGAGGCGAAGAAAATAGTTTGTCCGATGGGTTTGTAGTATGAAAAGATACATGCATGCCTTAATGATTGCATATTATACAGAAAAGAGTGTGTAAACTATAATTATTGTCCAAAGTGCAAGGCGTCACGCTACAAAAAGAAACATGGTGAATCAATTGATGATGAGGTAGTCAAAAAGGGTCCTCCTACAAAAGTGGTATGGTACCTACCAAAAATTTCAAGGTTCAAGAGATTATTCGCCAATGCAGATGACGTAAAGAATCTTAGATGGCATGCAGAAGAAAGAAAATATGATGGACAAATTCGCCATGTAGCTGATTCTTTGCAATGGAAGAAAATAGATTATTTGTTTCCAAATTTTGGCAAAGAGTCAAGAAACCTTAGACTTGGACTTGCTACTGATGGAATGAATTCGTTTGGTAATCTAACTACTAACCATAGTTCTTGGCATGTTCTCCTGATGATTTACAACCTATCTCCTAGGCTGTGCATGTAGCGTAAATATATTATGTTATCGATCATGATATCAGGCCCAAAACAACCAGGAAATGACATAGACGTTTATCTAAGTCCACTGATTGATGATTTAAGAGTGTTGTGGGAGGAAGAGGTGGATGTTTTTGATGCGTATTCTGGCGAACAGTTCAATATGTGTGCCATGTTATTTTGCACCATCAACAATTTTCTGGCATATGGTAATTTGTCTGGGTATAAAGTTAAAGGGCATAAGGCGTGTCCTATATGTGAAAAAGACACATGTTACCATCATCTTGAAAAAGGAAATAATACCATTTATCTCGGGCATCAAAAATTTCTAAAACGTTATCATCCATATCGTAGATTGCGGAAAGCTTTCAATGGGGAACAAGAGCATGGTGTTGCTCCAAAGCCCTTGTCTGAAGAGGAAGTTTATCAGCGACAACATGGACTTGATGTTGTCTTTAGAAAGTACCAAAAATGATCTACTGTAAAAAATGTATGGAAAAAGAGATCGATTTTCTTCGATCTTCCATTTTGGTCTAGTCTTCATGTAAGACATTGTATTAATGTGATGCACGTGGAGAAAAATGTATGCGATAGTGTAATCGGAACACTTCTCAACATTCAAGGCAAGACAAAAGATGGTATTAATGCTCGTATGGATTTGGGTTTGATGGGTGTACGAGAAGAGTTAACTCCACAATATATAGGTAACAAGACATATTTTCCTCCTGCCTGCTACCCTTTGTCTAAAAAAGAGAAAACAAGTTTTTGTGAGTGTTTACAAAGTATCAAAGTGTCGCATGGTTACTCATCCAATGTCAAGAGGCTTGTATCAGTTAAAGATCTTAAATTAGTTGGCTTAAAATCTCACGACTGTCATATCTTAATGCAACAACTACTACCATTGGCTATTCGTGGGATATTTCCTAACAACGTTAGGAAGACTATAACTAGGTTGTGCTTATTTTTCAATGCAATTTATTGTAAAGCCGTTGATCCACTAAAGTTAGACGATTTGGAAAATGAGGCTGCAGTTATCTTGTGCCAATTAGAGATGTATTTTCCTCCTTCATTTTTTGACATTATGGTTCACTTGATTGCTAATCTAGTAAGGGAGATTAGATCATGTGGTCTAATTTTTTTACGGTGGATGTATCCAATAGAGCGATACATGAAGATCCTAAAAGGGTATACAAAAAACCCACACCGTCCGGAAGCATCGATTATTGAGAGGTACATTGCAGAAGAAGCAATTGAGGTTTATTCTAACTATTTGTCAGGAGTGGATGTTGTAGGGGTTCCCAAGTCTCGTCATGATGGAAGATGTGAGGGTGTGGGTACACAAGGTTTAAAGGTCAAGAGCTTAAGTATTGATGTGGTTGTTCAAGCGCATTTGTATATATTGAATAACATAGATGAAGTTAAACCTTACTTATCTTCTCACAAAAGCATCATAAAGAAAAAGTACCCCAAGATGAATGAAAGAGGGTTGTTAAAAGAGCATAATAAGAGTTTCTCTGAGTGGTTTAAAGAAAGAATTCCTCATGAAGATAATGCTTCTAATACAATTAAGTGGTTGTCTTATGGGCCTAAATGTAACATAAAAACTTGGAATGGATATGATATTAATAAAACCTCTTTTTCTACAAAGTCAAAGGATGACCGTAGTACCACTCAAGATAGTGGGGTAATGATTGTGGCCGAGACCATGCACTTCTCTAGTGTTAAAGAAAAAAACCCGGTTATGGCATCTACACCGTACTTTGGGGTGATTGAAGAGATTTGGGAAGTTAATTATGTTGTGTTTAAAGTTCCTGTATTTAAATGCAAATTGATTGATATCAATAGTGGTGTAAGAATCAATGAATTTGGAGTTACACTAGTTGATCTTAGCAAGTTAGCTTATGCGAATGAACTTTTCATCATGGCATCTCAAGCAAAAAATGTGTTTTATGTCACATATCCTTCTAATAAAAAGTGGTCAGTGGTTTTACAAGGAAAGGGTGCATGATAGTGATGAAAATCCTGATGAGAATCTTGATATTTCAGAAACTCATCCTTTCTCAACAAATGTGACTACATTCATTGAAGAAAATGAAGGGGATGATGTGCACGCTATTCGCATGGACCATGAAGAAGGGATATGGGAGGACTAGTAAGATTTTTTTTTATAAGTTAATTCTACGTTACTTTATTTTCTAATTGTTTTTATTTTGTGCCTAATTTGATGTCCAATTATTTAGATTTTGTGCTTAATTTTATTTCTAATTGTTTTTATTTTGTGCTTAATTTTATTTCTAATTATTTTTATTTTGTGTAAACAGATACATGGGTGATTCAAACGAAAATCCTTCTTCATCTAGTAACCCCAATAAAAGAAGAGTTAGAGGTTCTACTTTCATGACACAAATTGACAAAGTTCATCAAACAGGTGAAAAATAAAGGTCGAGTTTAATCCAAGAACCTATGAATGTATTGGTGTTGGTAAAAATGCTACACATTTTAAGAGTTATATAGCATGTCTTGCTCGGCAGTACTGTAGTATTGTGAAAAATGATTCGAAAGAAGTAGATGAAGGCGTAAAAAATGCTATTTGGACTGATATTCAGGTATTTTAAATACAACACTTTATTATATTTATAATCATATATTGATTAACAACATATGACATATACTATATTTGTAGGCTCATTTCACTATTCCAGAATGTAAAGATCCAAAGATGGATAGGTTGAAGAAAGAATGGATTAAATATGCGGGAGAGCGATGGAGAGGTTTTAAGACACAACTCACAGACAGATATATTAATCATCCCATAGAAAACGATCCCCCTCCATGTGTCAAGTATAACTTTATTACGGAAGACGCATGGAAAGAGTTTCTCAAGATTCGAGATTCCCCTTAATTTAAGGTTAGTAGGAGTTATATGTTTTTGTGTGCATAACATTTTTATTATATTTAGTGATTAATAACTTTTTGAGTTTATAATAGGAAAAAAGTCAAAAGGGTAAGGATAATATGGCTAAGAATGTATACCCACACTTATTTTCTCGTGGAAGGTATCGCTTGCTTGAGGAGAAAATTATGAAAGAAAAGTCATCATCGAGAGATAATTCCATATTATATGATAATGGTAGTCTATCTCCACCATCACGCCATGAGTTATGAAAGAGAGCACGACAAAATAAAGGAGGAGAATACACATCAAAATCTACACAAGAGGTTGCTGAAAAAATTGTAAGTAAACAATAAAAAATACTTCAAGTATCATTATATTTTTGTGATTGATTAATTGTGGTTTTTGCATTTTGTAGGATTCTCTATTTCAAGAAGCTGAAAAAGGTGCAATTGTTCTGTATGGACGTAATGATATCTTAACATTATCCATTGGAACATCTGAGCATGGAGGTCGTGTTCGTGGTGTTGGAAAACGCCATAAACAAAGCACTTACTTTGGAAGGTCACGTCAACAACAACATATTGACGTAAATGAACAACTTGCAACATTGGAAACAAAACTTAGAGCTGAACTTGAAGAAAAGTTGGTTGAAGAGCGTAAGATGTTTCAACAATATTTAATGGAGACACTTAAGTCTATGGGTTTATCACAAAACACAAATAATATTAAATGCATTGAAAAAATGGAAATTGTCGATGGAAGCGGAAAAGGAAGTTGTTCAACTGCAAAAGGAAGCACAAAAGGAAGCACAAAAGACGTGGAAGTTGATGATGTTCAGAGATTGTTACTCATAGTTTTGAAAATGGATGACAACCATTTGGAAATACAATTAAGTCATTGTACGAGTGTCTCTAATTTTTATATGTCAGCTAAGTGTATCCGAGAGTTATTGGTGGATT